CTGCAATATTTAAAATAATTCCCCAATTTTTATTAAATGTTATAAAATTGAACTGAAATTTGAAAGTTTAGGCAGGAAAGTAGAGTAAAATTTAAGAAAGATAAGTCAGATTTGTATGATTAGCGTGATGAGATTCACGAGATCACGTGCAAAGACTACGAGTTTGTGCCTTGTCTACACGTGACTCCAATCGTTTCTATAACACAAAAGACAATTCTTCATACGTTTTTCTTCTTCAATATTCTTCTGTCAATTTATGAGCTCTTATTATCTTTCTTTAATATTCTTCTGTCAATGACATGTTAACTCAATTTTTTCTTGTTTGGAGGTATTAACGTTAAAAGAACAAACAGATCAAACGATGAATCAATATGAACGAGTGTAAATATTCTCAAAGCTCATCTGATATTTAAATAGGTATGAATTACGACTATAGTGACTTTAGTTCAGTGAGAACAATTAATTCAATTTTATTTTTATGGTTCTGGAATATTTACTTTGATGATCTCTATTATTTCGAGAATTGTCCTCGAGTATTGAAAAGTGTTTGTAAATTGAATCGTGCTAGAATAACTGCGCGGGTGACACACATACATACAAGGGGGGAAATAGTTTTTAATTCGACGTGAAACTCACGCCTGATTGTGAGAGAACGGTCATCCATAGTATCAACGACGCGAATCGTTTAGCATTTTTCTTTTTCTTATAAGTTATTGACCATTGGACTAATCTTATCCTAACAACTTGCAAACGAATGCTTATCCTCATTATTTCCAAGGTCCACACATTGAAGCCCCACTTAAAAGTAATTTTTGAGGACAATATTTATTTGCCACGGCTGACAGCTTACAAAAAAATCATTACAAATCCCACGTTCTAATTCGTCGAATGAAGATAATTGAATTGTTACTCTTTTCTAGTATTTTGGCCAAATACTATTTGAATGCTTCTAAGAAAAAAATTCACCTTTTTCTACATTTTCTAAGTATTCCTATGCATTTTCGGCCCTTTTTCTCGGTCTTACTTTTCAAGATTACTAGCATGAATTCTTTATCTTTCAAGATTATTGATATCGACTCGAGTCAACGTTACGTTACGTTACTAAATTTTAAATGCAATAATAACTATCTCAGTTACTACTTATATAAAGAACATACCAAAGTTCATTTTATATAGATAAGGACGAATTATCTTCATATATTAAAATGATATTCATAAGAATTTCTTTGACCATCTAGATCTTAATGTACAAGATTTCTCCTTTCTTTTGAAGAAGAGGAGGAATACTGGATTTGAAAATTTACCTATATTGCCCCGTTTGTTTTTCATTATTTGTCCATTAAAATGAAAAATATGATCGTTATCCATCACATCAAGTCACCATTTTTACTTTTTATCTTTTGTGTAGGGTCCGTAAAGACTATATTTTTCATTCTATTTTTACATTAATGTGTATCAAACGGGACCATTATATTAGCACGTGATTCTAGAAATACCATCTAGATCTCAATGTACAAGATTTATCCTTTATTTTGATGAAGATGAGGAATATTGGTTGAAAAACTTAGGGATAATTGTAGTTGCGATATCAATCTTTTACTATTTTATAGAATTTATCCAAATATTTTATTTGTGTCACACATAAATCCAAACCTTGTATTTCGTTAAAGCAGAAGGACAATTGGATGAATTCCATTACTTGATCAGAAAGTTGAGTTGGACCATATTTTTACCATTATTAAGGTAAAATGATAAATTTATATTTTTAATGAAATAATTATTAACTAACCAAAAATGAAAAAGAAAAAGAAAAGCTACGTACTACCACCCGCACTTCATCTTCTTCCTCAAGTGGGTTTCCTCGCTTAACAACTCACAAACTTCCGCTGCTTCCCATTGCCACCTCCGTCGGCCGCTGCTAAAGATTCAAGAAACATTTTTAATGGCAGATGCATTTCAGCAACGTCTCTTTCCCATTATGGATTCCCCGTGGATTTTGCTTTAAAAACCTTGAAACCCAGTGAAAAGCCTAAAGATGAACTCACTTCTTTACATAGGTTTATTGAGAAAGTTGCCGGTAGATTTGCGGTGGAGCCACCAATTTTGCCGCCTGTTACGACAGAAGTTGGAGATTGTAAGCCTGTCACTGCTTCTTCAACGAATCCAATGATTTCGAGACCGGGTTTTTATGTATCCTACCCCACCAGCAATAGGGTATTTGTCCAATGGCTGAGAAAACGTGGGAGCAGATTGGCGATGCAGCAATCGGGATCACGCACTTGGATATGAGGTTTCTGACAGCATTTACAGAGTCTGATTCCATCACCAAGATGTCCAAATTGTGAGCTCTAGGCTCTAGCAAAGCGTATGCCTTCCAAGAATGTGAAACAGTCTACTAAATAATTGGACTTTCAGAAGCTAGCGACTTGCCATTACTAGACCAACCATTCCACCATTACCATAGCGGCATGTTTATATTGTCTAGAACCCATTTGATTTGGGGATTTTTGTTGGCCGACCCCATAAGAAAAGGTGAAGAAGTAAGTCAAAAGAGAAATAATAACTGCTTATTGTGGGAAATAGAGAAAGGGTCAGGGAGTAATTTTGCGTATGAATTCAGGTACATGGACGACGTCTTGATTGCTATCTCTGAAGGGAAGGCGGTGGTGACGCTGATGCTACATGGGGGCGCGTGGGTAGTACTGCATGTACACTTTTCGTATCCATAATCGTTGACACCTACTCATACGGAGGGATCCACACATAATTTATTATGAAATAAAGCTAAAAAAAAAAGGAATTTAGAGACGGACTCATTTGTTAGAAAGTAGTTGGCTTTTTTATTTTATTTTTCAAAGTGTCTAATCATGTTTCGACACATGTCTACGCTATTTTTGAACCAGTTTATGTAGCATTTTTGTTTATCAATTGTTCTACAAATACAACACTTTTTACATCATTTTTTAGAGCCCTCTCATATTTGTGATGTGGGTTGTCAACATGAGTGTACAGTAACTCATTTTAACTCGTTGTTTTAATATGGATGGATCCGCTGCGTGTGGGGAGATGTCATCTATTATGTACATTGAAACCATACGAATAGTATTATCCACACAGTAGGTGTGGAGAGATGAATTGGCGAGGGGCGTGGGGGGCAAATTTTCTTTTCATTTTTTGGTTACTTACGTTAATTATTTTATTATAAAAAAAATATAAAATTACCATTTTACCCTTTCAATAGTGGTCAGAATATGATCCGAGTCAACTTCTCTCATCAACTAATGGTGAAATAGATAGATTCTGTCCATTTAGCCTTCTGCTGCAACAAAATAAAAGTTTTGACACTGTGAATGACATAAATAAAAGTTGGATAAAGTTTGAAAAAAAAAATGAAATATTTGGAATCGTAGCTACAAGTATCCCAAAAATTGAGCTAGATTATATTAGCAAGGGATTCTAGATATTTTATTTTCAAATCTGTATTTTAATATTTCATTTTTCAAAAAGTAACAATGGCTAGCATGTTTGGCTAAGCTTATAAGCTATATATTAATCATTTTGCTTTGACTGCGAGAATTTTATTATTTACATAATCAATTAAATAAATTTATGAATAATGCTGCGTAATATTACTAGTGTTTAACATTCATCCACGTAGCAACAGTATTGTCTATTGTGATGCTAAAAACTAGTACTACTATATGATGGGAAGCTTATCCAAATATGCTAACAATGTGTAAACAAAGTATTGCATAATTCTTTCTTTTGGTCATATTAAAATTGAAGTCAAACTTAACCATTAATTTCAACAACTCCATTTATGAGATTCACAATATTAGAATTATTCATTTTATCAACATTTATCAGAACCTACGAATTTAATTTTTATCTAAAAAGGGGCTAAATTGAATCTTTATCCAATCCCACAATGTCTATATGGCAAACAATCTTGTGGACCCTTAAAAGTCGTCCCAAAGTTTCGGTTCCTCCCGTAAACCAAGTGGCCGTTTGTTTACTATCCAACCAATGCTGATCAGTCTCGTGAGTGTCTCTCATAATTCACTAATCTACGCTACCCTACCATAACCTCTAGAGTAAAGATCTGTTGTCCAATTTAATCGTCCACTGGTCAACGTTAAACATGCCACAATGCTTTATAAGGTTGAACCCTAACCTTGAGGGCCCCGGCCCGCCTGCCCCTAGAGTATCATTAGGAAGGTAAATGGCGAGATGTGTTCCAATAGACTAAGGAATAAGAGATTGTCCGTACACTGGTGCTCACAAAGAATCCAATTCCATATATCAGAAATCGAACCCTCACACTGCGACTGCCAACAAGGTTAAAACTATCTCACTTCCATCTTTTACACCACTGAGTTATGTCTCGAGAGAAGCTACAATACTTTATAAATGTTATAAAAGTAGTGTATGAAGAATTAATACTAGCAAACATATTCGTGACAATGAATGTTAAATTATTTATTTAATTTTCAAATATAAGTAAAATTGGAAGTTAATTAGCATAATTGGAAAATTATGAACACCGAAATGTACAAATAAAGATGAATATTAATTAAATGAATGTAAATATTAATTAATTGAGAATTAATAATAATGAATTCATTCATTGATGAAAACACACGGTTGAAATGAATTTGTCAAATGTACTTGTACATTGATGGTAACTGAATAGTTAAATAAATTAAAAACATATTAAGAAACATAAAATAAGGTATTATTTAAATAATTAAATCATAATAAGACTATAATTGTTCAAAAAATAATTATCATTTAATGTGATATTTAAATTAATTTATTATATTATATTATATATTTTACTGTCTATTTAATTAATTCTTAACATGTTATCAATAATTAATATATTTATCACATTTATCTTTACTAACTTTACCACTAACTCAGTAAATTAATAAAATGTCAAGAATTAATTAAATTGGCAATAAAATGACAGCACATCTCCATGGTGAACTCAATATATTGCCAGCCGTTCTCCATGTCCTCCTCTCTTTCTAAGCAACAAAGCAAGAAACCGTCGCACGCACTTGGCACTCTGCACTCTAAAACAGAGATATATAAACACACACACGTAGAGAGTGTGATGGTTCCTATGGATAGCAACAGCCCTGTCACCTCTTTCTCTAGCTTAAACTCCTATTTCCGGGCACTCTCGGATACTCCGAACCGTTTGGCTCGCCGGGCATTCTCGGTCTCGACTTCTTTCGAAGAGACGAATCGGGTTCGAGCCAGGTCCGGAATCGAGATGAAAAGAAGCCTCCGATGGTATGACTTAGTTGGCCTCGGCATCGGCGGTATGGTCGGCGCCGGAGTATTTGTCACCACCGGTCGCGCCAGCCGATATTCTGCTGGCCCTTCTGTCATCCTTTCTTACGCCATTGCTGGACTTTGCGCTCTTCTCTCTGCCTTCTGCTACACAGAATTCGCAGTGGACCTCCCCGTTGCCGGCGGCGCGTTTAGCTATATACGCGTAACTTTTGGTCCGTTACGTTTTCATCTAAAATTTGAATGACTAATCATAAACCTTTCCTTATTCCTCGTCTTAAAATACATATATATGCCATTGCAGGTGAATTCTTGGCCTTCTTAGCAGGTGCGAATCTAATAGTAGACTACGTATTATCAAATGCGGCGGTGGCCAGAGGTTTCACAGCCTATTTAGGTACCGCTCTGGGAGTATCAACTACCCCTTTGAGGTTCACCATCCATGGCATACCAAAAGGATACAATGAAATTGACATTGTTGCAGTGGCCGTGGTCCTACTCCTCACCCTCGTAATATGCCACAGGTCTACACATTGTAAAATTTCTCAAATACCAAAACTTTGTCATCATTTTCACTTTATACCAGCTCCATTAATCTTAATTTTTTTGGGGTTTTTTCAGTACACGAGAGAGCTCATGGTTAAACATGGTTTTAACTATTCTGCACATTTTGTTCATAGTTTTCGTGATAGTCGTTGGGTTCTGTAGAGGTGAGTGGAAGAATTTCACCGAACCCAAAAGCCCGAAAAGTCATGGTGGGTTTTTTCCATTTGGTGCTTCTGGCGTGTTTAATGGTGCTGCTATGGTGTATTTGAGCTATATTGGTTACGACGCTGTTTCAACCATGGCTGAAGAGGTCCGAAATCCAATTAAGGATATCCCGGTCGGAGTTTCGGGCTCGGTTTTCCTCGTCACTATTCTTTACTGCTTGATGGCTGCTTCAATGTCCGCCCTCCTCCCTTATGACCAGGTTTTGAATGGCAAAAAGAAATCAGGATACAATATTAATGCTTTTTTTTAATTTTTTTTTTCCAAGAAACTATTGAAGATAATAATGACATCATTGTCAACAACTGTATTTTGTGGAAAGTTTATGTGGTGGTTGATTGTATATTTATGACACAGATAGATCCAGATTCGCCGTTTTCTGTAGCATTTAAGCTCGGATCCTCGCGGTGGAGATGGGTGTCAAATGTTATCGGAGTGGGGGCCAGTTTTGGGATCTTGACGTCGCTTTTGGTGGCGATGTTGGGGCAGGCACGCTATATGTGTGTAATAGGACGGTCGTGCGTAATCCCTTCATGGTTTGCGAGGGTACATTCTAAGACTTCTACACCTGTCAACGCCTCTGCCTTCCTTGGTACGTTGTCCCACTTGATAAATCTTGCCTCTTTTCTTCCGTCTAGTGGTGCTAGATAGTATTATTATTATTATTATTATTATTTTTTTGATAACCCAAGTGCTAGATAGTATTATTCTTGTTAATATGATATATGGTGTCAATTTTTATTAACCCCTTGTAAGAAGGGGTTACATGACTTATAAGTCCACATGTCGACGTAGGGCTCAAGCGTTATTAATGTGAAGTGGAGCGTTACTGGTGTTACAATCAATTTTAGATGGCATTAGATGACATTAAATGAGTTAAATGATAGACTCATTTGCACTTTTAACTGGACCTTGCACTTAATAACATCTGGAACCCCCTTTAACTTTGTTTCTTGTCCAAGTAGCCTATGAAAAATTGCCAACTCATTACCTATAAACTAATCTGTGAAATACATTTGTACAAGTGGCATAACTCATTTTATTATAGTGCACAATGTACTTAAAAGCCCATGATCTGATGTGGGACTCTAGCGTGAGAAGACAAGGTTGTAAACTGGAATGGGTCCATTTAGAACCATTTCAGTCAGAAGCCTAGGTATGAATAGGGGGTTCTGGTCTATCTCAAGATTTTGTTCTCATTTTGGTGGGGCCAATCTTTGGTTGCAAGGACATGAACAAATTCCCTAGGAGGTTGAAATATTGGAGTTAGAACTTGACTATTTTTCGTTGGGACCATTCTATTCTCTTCCATAAATCTGATTTCTTTTCCTCTTTCTGATAGGTCTATGCAACTTGCTAGTGGACTACAACAAACAAGTTGTACTGAGAATAGTGTTCATAATTCATTTAGGTGTTTGAAAAAATAGTACGTGAAGTGATTTCATGTCAGAATATGCCAAATAAGCACTCTATTATTTTACTAAGGACATGTTTGATGTAACTTAGTGAAAAGTAATTTTTGAAGAATGTGTGGTTAAAAAATACGAAAAAATTATGAATTTACACGCAAAAATATTTTATTGAAAGAATGTGTTATTAAAAATGAGTTTTAAAATTTTTGTAGCGAATGGGGGCTAAGTATTATTTTAGAGACACCCACAATTTGAGATCAATATTCTTTGAGCTTGTCTTTCATCATTTAGGAGTCGAATGATGAAGGCAGGATTGCTTTGCAACTACTAACGATAGCATGGTTCGGCTATGAAAAAGTAGAATCAAATCATATCAAGGGCTCGTTTGACATATCTTTTGCTTTTTTTTCTGTAGAATGGCTTTTAGAGGAAGTTAAATTAATTTTCGTTTGGAAACTAAGTTTTAAAATAGTTTTCTAAAAACTCTTCCAACTAGAAGATGCACTTTCAAAAAATTAGCCAAACTTGTCCAAATGCAGCTTTTGGGTGTTTAAAGCTCCTTTCGACTTTTCAAAAGTTATGTCAAACGGGCCTTGAGCATAAGATAAACTTCGTGGTTGATTTATTTTTTTAAACTTCTATCTTTTATTAGCACTGGAAGTTGGTGTTCTTTAAGTTAGTGGAGGAAACTATTGCTTTAGCAATTTTGATATTGATGGAGGACCTAATAAAAAAGTAAATGCCGAAAGCTATAAGATTTATCTTTCAGGGTGGATACGAGATGACACCAATATTTAGATGATTAGAAAAAGTTTATTTGCAAAAAGGGAAAAAATATATCATATGATTCTTCTCAAATTGGTAGAGCTAGCGCTAAGAGTGACTTAGTATATATAGGATCACCAGGAGAATGTTATTCATTCATTGCTGCTCCTAACTTACTTTTGAAGATTTTGTTGAAGACTACGGCCTCTAGATAATTGTTTCCATTAATAAGTTCCTTTCGTGGTTGTCCTACTTAAAGAAGATACCGTCCCATTTTTTCTATTTTCCCTTTTTTATCTATGTAACTTTGTTTACATGAGAGCTCTATATTAGTTCTTTCCTACTTTTTTACTCATACTTTGGAAATGCTCTTCAGGATTCTTCACAGCAGCAATCGCCCTTTTTACTGATATGAACATCCTACTGAACCTCGTATCCATAGGGACGCTGTTTGTCTTCTACATGGTGGCAAATGCGGTGATATATAGGCGTTATGTTATAGTGGGAACGACAAATCCGTGGCCAACCATTTCGTTCTTGTCCTGTTTCTCACTCACTTCTGTCATGTTTACCCTCCTCTGGCATTTCGGGCCATCAGGTAAGCCCAAGGCCTTCATGCTCGGGGCATGTTTCGCTATGGCAATTGGAGTTCTACAAGTATTCCATTTCATGGTCCCACAAGCCCGAAAGCCCGAGTTTTGGGGGGTGCCTTTGATGCCATGGATTCCATCCATATCCATCTTCCTCAACATATTATTGTTGGGTTCTCTTGATGGAGCATCCTACGTTCGATTCGGATTCCTTTCTGGCCTTTCGGTGCTTGTATATGTTCTGTACAGTGTTCACTCAAGTTTTGATGCAGACGAAGTTGGGACTCTCAGTCAAAAGACTGGAGAAAGTATGAAGGAATCCGTTGAAAGTGATGACAACGCTCTCAAAGCGTAAAAAATAAAAAATTTCAAAATCATTTTTCTTTTCAATAACTTTATAGCGTCCAAGAATATTTCAATTCCTTTAGTTGTATGAGCGCACCATCATAATTCATAGAGAATCTTATGGGTCCATTTTAGCATTCAAGGAAATATGAATTTGAATTAATTCAGACACGTGGATGGTTTAATCTTTGAGATAAACGTATAACTAATGACAAGACCAACTAGGTATCGTTTTTTTCAGACATCGACCTAGCATGGACCAAGTCTACGATCCTAATAAAAATGAGGTAGAACGTCAATCGTACAAATTGTTGAGTCACAGCCTTGTATCCATTAAATATTCTTCATCCGAGAATTCGAACATATCCTTGTGGGCCGACGACTCCCACAACAATAGTTTGGTGTAATGTAGAACACGAAGAATATGTTTAGAACCACTATTGGCCACAAATTTTCTTGTAGCTTAAGGTGAAAATAGGACATTTTAGTTAGTGAGATACTATAACGATATGTAGGCAACACAAGAAATCTAGTGCCAACGAAGTATTGATGAATAGGTTGCCATCTCAGTTTACGACTCATATTGCAAAATGTTATTCCCATCACATGCCTTGATGTTCCAAAGTTGGTGCATTCGTGTGCTAAGTTATTTCCATGTTGGTCCTTTCATGTGCTTATATCGATGCTTTCGTGGGACATGATATGTACACGACGTTTAACTTTGTGTGACATGATGTGTAAAAGTTGCTGCCGTCCTGTGATATTGTTATCGTGTTCACATGTAACTCTTTTCAAAAAGATCGAATCAATCAATAACAAGCATCGTGAAGGGTCGTACACTTTTATGATTGCAATTTTTTAAATTTTGCAAAAAGATTGAAATTATGCTAAAGATTTATAGCTTACATCCTACCTCGATGCCCGTTGAATCCGTTCTAATCACAAATATGGATTTGAAAAAGGATTTCATGTCATCAAGTTTTCCTTTAGGTAATGGGATAATATAAACTGCCATAGATTCCAATTCCATCTGAAGAATCCATCTAAAGCCGCGATTCTTGGGATTGAATGGAATGCAAACGTTGGAAAGTAAGAAGTAGAGGTCATCATTTTATTGGTATTATTTAAGAAAATTAGAATTAAATTTTTGTAAATAATATTTTTTTGCACACCATAAAAATGGGGAAAATTGCCTAATTGGTCCCCAGCCATCACCTTAGTGGTGACTTGATCATCAGCTATTAGAAATGAGCACGTTCTTCCTCCAATATTAAAGATGAGTTAGTTGATCCTCAACCTTTGTCTATAGTTGCACAATGGTCCATGCGAAAACCATATTAAGCTTGGTTAATATCATGTAGTATGTCTAATTATATGAAGCTGAGTTCAACTTTTTTCAACATTGTTTGTTGCCTAAAACTTTGAAGTGAGACATGTGACGATCTAAAGATAATGTGACTGTTTCCGTCATAAGCAACTGGTTGTAATATTTCATTATGTTCATCAGTATTCTCAATGTTATCTTTACTTGAGACTTGTTTGCTCGAATTAGGGGTCTTTCTGTAGAAACTTTAGCAAACGTTTGTTTGTTTTTGATTAGTTTCTCCGCTTCTCCAAGTGGCTTTTCAATATTAAACTAGAAAAAATAATGTATTATATTGTATAAAGATAAAAAGGCTAAAAAAAACCTGAATCCAACCAAGATACAATGTCTTGTTGTTTTGCTCAATAACAAAAACACCTGAATGACAAAACAAAAATGAGGACAAAAAGTGTATGGGCCATTATGGGTTTCCACCCCAAATTTCTCAAACAAATTGAATACTTTTGGTCGCTTGGCTAGTCAATTGGGCCCTTTACGAATCAACTCATTTGGATTATTGAGTCCCTACATTTTATTATGTTGGATTTATGGGTCCCTTCACTCTCAGTTTTAGTCAGTCACATCACTTGGATTAATTATTAATTAAGGAACCTATTAATCTAATAACTAATTCTTCAATAAATAACTTATCTCTAAACTCGCATAGGATTCTAATGACTTGTTTAAAGGATCACTTTTAAGTTTGCATTAATTATTCTTAATGAATCTCTAATGTACAATAAATGATGTAATCTTTAATGGGTTAAATCCACAAATGGTTATTTGAAACACACACACACACACACACACTAATATATATATATATATATATATATATATATATAATTAGGTTGTGTATGTTTAGGTGTGTAAGTGAAAAGTTAATTACTTATTGATTGGTACATTATATGTATTTTTCTGTTTAGATTAAAGTAGATGAAGAATTGAATTTCTTTTTTTTATTTGATATTGCAAATAAGTTTTAACTTGAATTTAGCAAAATATTTTCCTTTAGCAACTTCAATTTGAGAGACTATAATTGTACTTCGAAAAATAACCTGTGCAGTTGTAAATTGAAAGAGAACTTCATGAATTCCAATTCAAATTTCAATTTAACTAAAAGAAAGGAGAGAGAAGAAACAAATTTTGGGGAGTAAAATAGAAACTGATTCCATTAAAGTTAATAACCGAATAAATTTGTTTAGGAGTCCAGATACACAAAAAGTAAACAAAATAAAAACTTTATCTTAGCATGAATGATGTAGTTATCATGTTCTACATACATTATTTTTCAATACTAACATGTTTTCATCAGTTTCTAATTACATAAATATAACAAAAGTAAGGGGTGGACACATTGGAGCCATTTCATACTTAGTTTTCAAAAGTACTTATTCCAAAATGGCTCAATCATTTTCTACTCTATTTTTTCCTTCGAAGTAAATAGATTTGAGCCAGAAATTTTTGAGTCCATGTTTTCCACAAAATTTACTTTTTGAAATTGAGCCGTGTTTAGAAGAGACTAATCTTCCTGAGTTGAACACTTTTTTCAATTGATGTAATTGCATATTCAGAATTGACTTTCTCTTGGCATTGTTCTTCTGGAATCAGAGGTTCTGAATATGTTACAAAGATGATGTCAAACTTGTAATTGGATGAATTATGTTCGATTTGAGTTGCTTTCACATAGATTGCTCGTTCAATGTTTTGCATCTTTTGAATCACATTTCCAAAGTTTCTCTGAACCTTGTACATAAAAAATGAATTGTATTATGATTACTCTATGGAAAATATGTACTGGCTATATAGTGGCAGAAGGCTTGTGTATCTGTAAACATAAGTTTCTCGACTGGTTCACCAATTGTACTTGTATTTATGAAGCCTGTCATATCCGATAGTTGTACATATGCTCTAGCCCTAAAATATATAGGGATTCAATATTTGTAAATGAAAAAATTGATATATTAAATAAAAATAGAAATGAAAAAGTATGAAGAGAGTGTTTTGTTATCTTTATGGAAAAGAATAAAATTTATGGTTAGTATGCAGTGTATTTTTACTGAGAAATAGTTTTAAAATTGGGACTCTTGCAAAAAATACAAAGATATGTTTCACCAAAATCAGCTTTTGATCGCCAATAGCAGCTATTGCAAGCCATGTACTAACATTAGTTATCTATTTTCTCGACCGTTGTTGTGTCATTGACCCAATAAAACTTCCGCTGTTGTGAAAATGAATTTTTAGCAATAATAAGTATATAAAAAAAGATAAAAAAGAACTAAAAAAAGAATGGGCATATGTTGTTGTATACATGAATTCATCATATTGTTGAAATTAATTTACCTGCTTAAATCAAACATTGCTGCATTGGTCTAGAGATCTATACTTGATAATTTCCTACATTACTTTTTTATCAATTTGTGATATATATAATATAAAACATACAAATGTGAGAAAAATATATTGCAAGTATATATCATTTTTTTTTAATAGAAAACTTTGCTTTATTGTATCTGTTTAAAAGGTTCATTTTGGTCCTCAATAAATGACAAATAGAGTACATTTTGTAATTTTTGTAAAACCTTAAGTTAAATTGATAGTATTGTCTCACAAAATAATATAATTCTTGTAGAACACGAAAAATTCATGCTTTTGTGATTTTAAGTATACAAACCTTCTGATTAGATGCATGTGATAAGAAAATTTTGATTAACTCACATAACTGTTCCTTTGTATCGATAACTCCAGATGAGCTTGAATAAATTGATCAATTTTGTTAAGTAGCATGTATTAAATTCAAAATATGTGTGTGTGAATATGTGACATTAAGTTTATGTGTGTGAAATTAAATAATTAAAAGAAATTATAGATTGAAATTAAATTTATGTGTGTGAATATGTGACATAACTGTATTTCAAAAGATTATTTAAGCTTTTAACTATCAAAGCACTTTTTCACCAGTGACAAAATACCATTTCCTAACCTACCCAGGCCCTAGCTCTAGAAGACACTGCATTCGTCGCACCCCATGCAATCAGCCATCAAAAAAGGTAAATTGCTCACTCATCACACCGTTTCGCGTGGAGACCAAAGATATTAGCGCAGCTCGGAGACCGTGCTCTTCGCGCTGCATTCTTCGCACAACGTGGAGAGCCGTCTCTTCGTGCTACGCGGAGGGCTCTCTTCGCAGCCTCTCCGCACAGTGTAGAGATTTCTTTGTCCCAAGGATGCGGTCCATGCTTTTGAATTTTCATTTTTTATTGTCTGCTTATATTCATTAACACCATCGTTACGACGCTTATAAAGTGGGTATGAAATATTACCTAATGAAGTATGTAAAACGTATTCTTTTGGATATTTATTTTTACAAATATGATTGTTTTTCATGCAAACATTTGTAGGATTCAATTGTCCATAAAAATCATGCATCATATGTTTGAGCACAGTAGTATGCAGGTAAGAATCTCTCTTTTGGTTTGGTATTTCACAAGAACAATCTCGTCAATTTACATAGAGTTAGTAATCTTAAAATTTGATTTAAATATAAAAATAAAAATGAACATGAGGTAGATCTCTTTAGTTACAGGCCGTAGAATTTCTCTTCAATAAATTTGTTTTTTGTTCTTCAAGCCTCATTTAAAATATTCGCACTAACAAAACTGTCATATTTTGTATTTCATCATTGTGTT